TCCCACTGTTACGCGTCTCCTCGCTACAGTTGTCACTGACCCGACCTTTGAGTCCTCTGCTGCGTCTGCCCTGGTCGCTGAGTTGGTTGACTTTGCTGCTCGCTGTCGCCTAGACTACGCTGCCAGCCTTGTCGCTAGGTCTGAGTCTGCGTCTGCCTGTCCTCCGTCCGTCGGGGGTGAGTGTGCCCTCGGCACGGACGTCCTTGAGGACAGACAGGAGGAGTTCCACTGCCTTGCTGCTGCTTTGCCCCGTCTCGTGTCCTTGCTAGTTGCCCCTGAGGGAGACCCGGATGCACCAGACATCCCGACCCCACGCTCTTACGCTGAGGCGATGGCGGGTCCCTACTCCTCTCAGTGGCAGACAGCCATGGACGCAGAGATGGCCTCCTGGAAGTCCACAGGCACCTACGTAGACGAGGTTCCCCCTCCTGGGGCGAACATCGTCAGTGGCATGTGGATTTTCAGGGTGAAGCGGCCTCCGGGTTCTCCACCTGTCTTCAAGGCGCGCTACGTGGCTCGAGGCTTCAGTCAGCGAGAGGGAGTAGACTTCTTTCAGACCTTCTCCCCCACCCCGAAGATGACTACTCTTCGGGTGCTGCTGCACATAGCCGCTCACCGCGACTACGAGCTTCACTCTCTTGACTTCAGCACTGCTTTCTTGCAGGGCAGCCTGCACGAGGAGATCTGGCTGCGCCGCCCCCCTGGCTTCACTGGGTCATTTCCTCCTGGCACCCAGTGGAGGCTTCAGCGGCCGGTCTACGGTCTCCGCCAGGCGCCACGTGAGTGGCACGACACACTGAGGACGACACTTGCGGCTCTTGGGTTCGCTCCCTCTACTGCTGACCCGTCGCTGTTTCTACGCACCGACACCTCGCTGCCGCCGTTCTACATCCTCGTGTACGTTGACGACTTGGTCTTTGCCACTGCTGACACCGCGGCACTCGCTCACGTGAAGTCGGAGCTGCAGAGGAGACACACGTGCACAGACCTGGGTGAGCTGACGAGCTATCTTGGCTTGCGGATCACCCGGGACAGAGCACGGCGCACCATCACCCTGACTCAGTCACACATGGTGCAGCAGGTCCTCCAGCGCTTCCGCTTCACGTACTCCTCGCCTCAGTCCACTCCTCTGCCTACCGGTCACTCGCTCTCAGCTCTGCCTTCGGATGAGTCCGTAGAGCCGAGTGGCCCGTATCCAGAGCTTGTGGGCTGCCTCATGTACCTGATGACCTGCACTCGACCTGACCTTGCATACCCTCTTAGCATCCTAGCACGCTATGTCGCTCCTGGCCGTCACCGGAAGGAGCACATGGATGCTGCTAAGAGGGTGTTGCGCTACTTGTGCAGTACGTCGGGCATGGGGCTTGTGCTTGGAGGGCGAGACCGGGTTGTTCTCACAGGGCACTCAGACGCTTCTTGGGCAGACGACCAGGCTACTCAGCGGTCGTCCCAGGGTTACACCTTCAGCCTTGGCTCTGGCTCAGTTTCTTGGCGTTCTACTCGCTCTTCTTCTGTTCTCAGCTCCAGTTGTGAGGCTGAGATCTACGCCACAGCCATGGCTGCTCAGGAGCTACGCTGGCTGACCTACCTGCTGACCGACCTCGGAGAGCGGCCTCGTTCTCCTCCAGTGCTGTACGTCGACAACAAGGCTGCCATTGCCTTGTGTGAGGAGCACAGACTGGAGCACAGAACGAAGCACATCGCTCTGCGGTACTTCCTTGCTCGAGAGCTGCAGCAGCGTGGTCAGCTTTGTCTGCGTTACGTGGCCACGGAGGCCAACACTGCTGATGTGTTCACCAAGGCGCTTCAGCCTTGTGACCATCAGCGCTTTTGCACTCTGCTAGGCCTTGTACCTACTGGGCCTCACTTGCTTACCTCTTGACCTTACTTGTACTGTGATCACTATATATATATGCCTTCTTGCTTACTTTTGCTAGGTTGTGATCACTGTATCTCTTACTTTGTTATAAACCTGCATGTGAACTGGTCTTGTGACCGCTTGCTTGTGCTCGGAATTTGTGTGGAATCCTTGAGATCCACCCTGAGCTTGCTTTGCTTTGCTTTGACTGGTCTTGTGACCCTGTGGTTGTTTCCCACTGCGCCTATGGGGGTGTGTCAAACATTGCATGTTTATATTGTCTAGGCTGTAGTGGGTTACACCTTAGGGGGTACACAAAGTTAGGGTTTCCTACTTGTACCAAACTCTGTTCTAGTTCATTCATTCCTGCTCAGTTATTTCTGACACATCCATGCGTATAAGGTGTGGAGGTGCTACCTAGAGGGGGCAGATAGTGTTATACGCACGGACCACTGTTCGCTTCGTTTCCTCAAGTCGCAGCCGCAGCTGAGTCGTCGCCAGGCTAGATGGATGGAGTTCATGGAGGGGAGTTTCCACTACAGGATAGAGTACAAGCCAGGCGTTCGCAACCCAGCAGATCCGCTCACTCGCCCTAGTTGCCAGCTCGCTAGTCTCACAGTCACTGCCGGCCATCCACTTCTCACAGCACTCTTCGAGCACGGTTACACAGTAGATCCCGACTTCACACCGCAGCCGCCCGCAGGAGCAGAGGTGCAGGGTAGTGTTTACATACGGAAGGGTACCACACGGATTTGGGTTCCAGCCTACCGCCCTCTTCGACAGCTCCTTCTCTCAGAGGCACACGACGTAGTTAGTGCAGGTCACTTCGGAGCAGATAAGACGGCTAAGACGCTTAGTCGCACGTACTTCTGGCCAGGGCTTGCAGCAGACGTAGAGGATTACATTCGCTCGTGTGACACGTGCCAGCGCAGGAAGTCCTCTCGCCAGCGCAAGGCAGGACTCTTGCAGCCGATTCCACCGCCCGACCGCCCTTGGCAGGTAGTCACCATGGATTTCATCATGGCTTTACCGCGCACAGTTAGGGGTCACGACGCCATCTTCGTGGTAGTGGATAAGTTTTCTCGAGCAGCGCACTTCATCCCCACGCACGGCCAGGTCACAGCAGAGGAAGCCGCGACGCTGTTCGTAGATAACGTAGTCCGACTGCACGGGGTTCCAGATTCCATCATTTCCGACCGCGACCCTAGATTCACCTCGAAGTTCTGGAAGCAGCTTTTCGCACTGTTTGGGACTCGCTTAGCCATGTCGTCTGCGTACCATCCAGAGACAGACGGACAGACCGAGCGTGTGAACCAGACCTTGGAGCAGATCCTTCGCAGCATCACGATGCACGACGCAGCAGCATGGGACAAGAAGCTGAGCATGGCAGAGTTCGCATACAACAACACGCATCACTCCGCCACAGGCATGTCACCGTTCTTTGCACTGTACGGTCAGCACCCCAATGTCCCCACTCGTGTCGATCTCACACCCACTGTCCCTCGTGCGGACAATTTCCACCAGCACCTCACCTTCATTCACGACCACGTGAGGAAGCACCTTGAGCTCGCTAATGCACGCATGGCACGCACCACCAACCGCAGTCGTCGTGAGGTGTCGTTCGCAGTTGGCGACCGTGTTCTTTTGGACAGCCGCAACCTCCGACTGCCACAGGACGGCAAGCTTCGCCCACGTTTCATTGGTCCATTTGTCATTGAGCGCGCACTTGGTCCAGTCGCATACCGCCTTCGCCTTCCCGCTCATTTCCGCATGCACCCGTCATTCCACGTGTCTCTCCTTCGTCCATACACCGATCCCAACTCCACCTTCTCGGGCCGTGATCGCACTCCACTGCCGGTAGCTGTTGACACCGACGAGCCCGACTACCAGATCCAGCGCATCCTCAGGCACCGTCGCCGTCTCCAAAGGGGTGTCTCTTTCATCGACTTTGGTGTGGTTACGATGCAGCCGACGACAGCTGGGTTCCTTCGTCCTCGCTGTCTCCCGACAACGCTTGCCTCCGAGCGTACCTTCAGTCTGCAGGCGCCGCGGACGTCGCCTCCTTGGGAGGGGGGTAGTGTTAAGGGGGGATTTACTGTTCACTTTGAACAGTACTTTCCAACTCACCCTTATCCTTATCTTCCTAGATTTCCTAGTGCCACGTGGCACTCTACTTTTCTTGCACTACAATTCCTAGTCCCACAAACCACTTTCCCACAATTGCTCTTGCATGCTATATCAACCTTGCTTGTATCCACCAATATCAACCAATTCTCATTCAACTCTTCTTCAATTACTCAGTAACTTCTTCGCCTATTTCGCCAATAGTCTTTTCGCCAAAGCCTTCCGCCGCGCTTTATCCTCGACTTAGTCGCTAATTCTTTAGCGGACTTAGGCCGTCGGGCCTAACACCTACATCACAGGTCAAAACAAAGTGGAGCTAGGCGACAGAACGAAGGCAGTTCATTGGGCGTGACCTCCAACAATCTACCCAACCATCTGATGTTTTAATTAGACCGCCTAGGATCAGGTCCAAAACCTTTACAACCCTCCGCATCGCTGGCATTTTGGTTTCCCCTCAACTCTCTCTCACAACTCGGCTGGATATGCGAGACTCAAGCTCAGCACTGCCAGGACGAGTTCGTACTGATTCGGGAGCTAGATGGATACTAGTCATGACGGCTTCAGCAGCACCAGTGCTGCTCAGCACTTATTGGGACAGTTTCTGCTCTCTACCGGAGAAGAGTATTCAACTTCCCAAACAGCTTTTTCCCTGTTTCAATTGCTTGAAGCCTTCTCCCCACAGCGTCAAAGCCTCATGGACTCTTATCGATTAATCGCCGACTCGCCGCATTTTATCATCCCAGCCGTTGTCGCAACCGTCGCGGTTCTCATTTCCACTTCCTGGCTCTCCTTCCTCCGCCGCCGTCGCTCCCTCCCCCCCGGCCCTTCCCCATGGCCCATCCTCGGCAACCTCCCCGACCTGGGACCTCTCCCTTTCCGCTCCCTTGCGAAGCTGGCCGACAGGTACGGCCCGATCCTGACCGTCTGGTTCGGTTCCACGCCGTCAGTGGTCATCTCGTCGCCAGAGCTCGCTCGCGAGGTGCTTAAAACGAATGATAAGCTCTGCTCGTCTCGCCCGATGACTCGCACATTGGCTATTCTCACCCTCGACGGCAAAAACATCGCGTTTTCTCAACCCAACGACCGTTGGCGAAAGTTGCGACGCCTGGCGACGCTCCACCTTCTCTCAGCGAAGAAATTGCGGGAGAGCCTGCCTGTGCGAGAGGGGGAGATTCGCGACATGCTCGACGAGATCGCTGCTGACGCAGCCGCAGCAGATGCGACTAAAATGGCCCTCGAAACGGGAGGCGGTGCGAAATCTGCAGCCACTGTGACGGTCGACGAGGGTATAGAGCTGCGAAAGTATTTAAATCGGGTTACCCTAAACAACATCATGCGCTTGACCGTCGGGAAACGCTTCAGCTATTCCTCCATTCGCGGCGCAGCCGGCGACACGCCAAAGGCGGTTCTCGACGCTGCGATGAAGATCGACTGGAACGAGCGCATCGCCGCAAGAACCGGCGAGATGGGGATTCGGGAACTGAAGGCTTCAGCGGCGGAAGGTAACTCTTCCAAGTTATCCTCCCTGACAGAAGAGGAGGAGGGAGAGTTGGCGTTTGCGATAATCGAAGAGACTTTTGCTCTTGTAGGAGCATTCAATCTCGCGGATTACGTGCCGTGGCTGAGCTACTGGGACCCGCAGCGCATATACGCGCGCATTGAACGTCTGACCCCGCTGCTGCACGGATTTCTGCGCGCGTGCATCGAGGAGAGACGGCAGCTGCTGAAGAAGGCACCACCGTCTGAAGCTGCTCTTGTTGATGCTTTGTTCGAGATTGAAGGGGAAGGGGAGGATGAGATGGATAATGACGAGATGCTGATGCTCGTGTTTGAATTGATGATGGCGGGGACTGATACCATGACGGTGACGCTGGAGTGGGCGCTTGCTGAGCTGGCGAAGCACCCGGACATGCTGGAGAGGGTGCGCGCTGAGGTGGATACGGCATATGCCAGGTCAGCAAGTGCAGAAGCCGAAACTGGGGCGGCTGAAGCAGGAGGAACGGATTTCACGGCCTCTCTTCCGGTAGCGGAAATGCCGTATCCGCAGGCTGTTTTAAAAGAAACACTTAGGCATCACACTACGGCCCCGATCCTCATTCCCCACATGACAAGTGATAGCGTAACTCTAGGTGGTTACCACATCCCTCCCAACACCATGATCCAGATTAACGCGTGGGCTCTCGCGCACGATCCAACGGTCTGGATCAACCCGCACGAATTTGACCCCTCCAGATTCCTTGGCCCTGACGCCCCTGATGTGACCGGGCAGAATTTCAGCCTGCTGACCTTTGGTTCGGGCAGACGCGGATGCCTTGGGTTAAACTTGGGAATGGACCTTTCTGCCCGGCTGCTGGCGAATTTTGTTCGCCGGTTTGACATTGAGCTGCCCGAAGACGTGCGGGCAGCTGGGGGTGCAGACATGACGGAACATTTTGCGCTGACCGCAATGCTGGCAAAGCCTCTTAGAGTGGTGTTGAGGGAGAGGAAGGGAGTGGCAGGGGCGGTGGTGGCTGATGCGGGTGCTTGAGGTGCAAGGGGTGGTGGAGTGGGGTTACTCGGTTACAAAGTTACCATGAACGTGTTTTGCTAAGGGTGGTGGTGAGGAAGAGACAGGTAGCGGCAGGGATGGTGGTGGCTGATGCTGCTGATTGAGCTGCAAGGGGTGCCATAGTAAGGGGTTGAACTGGTTACAGAGTTACCATGAACATGTTTTGCTAAGGGTGGTGGTGAGGAAGAGACAGGTAGCGGCAGGGATGGTGGTGGCTGATGCTGCTGATTGGGCTGCAAGAGGTGTCATAGTAAGGGATTGGGCTGGTTACATAGTTACCATGCAAGTGTTTTGCACGCACAAGGTTGCTCCTGAGGAGTGCAATTGGAGGCACAAGGGCTGGAGGGAGGGAGGGAGGGAGGGAGGGGAGGTGGAGGAAAAGGAGGGGTGCAGCGGGCAATGCTAACTTGGGCACAAGGGGTGGTGGTGAAGAATTGCACTTGTCTGCTGAAGCAGACCTGCAAGGATGCTACACATCTTGGTTTTCTTTTCCTTCTTCTTCTTGTGCATATTGTGATCGTGTTGGTATGACTGCTCTGCAGAAGCACAAACATAGAGTGTAATATATTATGTGACTATTCCAAGGATTAAACATGCAGAAGGGTGCCAGTAATATGTACAAGTTAGCACAGGAAGGCCTTCGTAGGAGTAGCATGGAAAGGTGGTGTGGTACCCCACAGTACTCTGACTTTCCCAGACCCCCCCCCCAAACTCCTACACAAGACTTCCCAACTTCTTTGCACACTCCGCGGTGCCTTTCCAAAGCCTTACCAGAGCAAGAGGCATCTTAGAATTGCAGCTGCTTTCTCTCCTTCAACACAAGCCGTAGCGGCTTCGCCAGTGCCGTGTTAAGGCTAAAATCCTCCCCGAAGTCAACTCCCCCAGCGGCCACCACATCGTCGGGCAGTGTCAGATCAAACCGCAGGAGAATGCTTGCTAGCATGCGTGCAGCAAGATCCAGCCCCAAGTTCATACCCGCACACACTCGCCTGCCCGAACCAAACGGCAGCACCTCATAATGCTGCCCAGTCACATCAGGGGCAGACGGGCCGAGGAACCTGCTGGGGTCAAACTCATGGGGGTTGATCCAAGCCGTTGGATTGTGAGCGATTCCCCAGGCGTTGATCTGAATGATCGTGTTGGGAGGGATGGTGTATCCGCCAATAGTAACCCTGTCAGTTGTCATGTGAGGGATTAGGAGCGGTGTTGGTGGGTGGTGCCTCAGAGTCTCCTTAATCACCGCATGAAGATAAGGCATCTCTTGCACGGGGAGAGATGCTGGGAGGTGATGCTTTTCAACTCCCTGTGCCCTAATGCTTTCTCCTACTGCTTCCTCTGCCACTGCTTCTCCTGTAACTGCTCTAGCCGTTGCTGACTTGGAGTATGCGGCATCCACCTCAGCTTGGAGCCGTTCCAGCATGGTGGGGTGACTTGCCAGCTCAGCAAGGGCCCACTCAACAGTCTTGGCAGTGGTGTCCGTGCCAGCATTGATCAAATCCAAACAAAGCAGCATAATATCCCTTCTGGTTACCCTATCCTTCTTCGAATTTCCCGCTGCCACACCCTCCTCTTCACCCTCCCCTTCACCCACCAACTCCAGCAATGCATCTACTAGCACTCGCTCCGCGCCTGGTTCAGCCGCCCCCAGTGTCACACCTCCTCCCCCTCCTTTTCCACCTTCCGCCGCTGACGCATCTTTCCCCAGCTTATTTTCCCCCAACTTCACCTCACCTCCCCCAACCCCCTCTCCTCCCTCTCCTTCCGTTCCTTCCTCCCCTTCTAGGATTCCATCTACCAACGGCCTCTCCCTCGCTACCTTCTTTCCCCCTCCCTCCTCCTCTTCCCGCCTTCTCCGTTTCAGCATCTGGCTTCTCTCCTCAATGCACGCCATCACAAACCCTTCTGTACACGGCTTTAACCGCTTTCCGCGCGCGTAGATCCGCTGCGGATCCACACGACTCAGCCACGGAATGAAATCGGCCAGGTTGAACGTCCCCATCACCTTAAACGTCTCGTCGACTATCGCGATCAACATCTCGCCTTCCAGTTCGTCCGCCGCAATTTCCGCCGCGGATTGCGCTGCAGACTCGCCGGATTTCGCGCCGTCGATTTTCATCGCCGCGATGCGTCCCTGCCAGTCGATTCTGAACGCTGCTTCGAGCATTTCTCCTGGTGCGGCGGCAGCAGCGCGACGGACGGTGCGGTAGGTGTAACCCTTTCCGAACGCAAGTCGCATGACGTTGTTCAGCGTCGCGCGGTTCAAATACCCTCGCACTTCCACGCCTCTCGCATCCCCGTTATTAGCAACTTCCGCTATCGCGTCAAGCATGTCGCGAATCTCTCGCTCGCGAACGGGTAGGCTTTTTTGTAAGGCCTGCGACGAAAAGAGATGCAGCGTCGCCAGCCGTCGCTGCATTCGCCAATGGTCGTTGGACGGCGAAAAAACAATGTCGTTCCCGTCGCTCGTCAGGAATGCGAGAAGGGGTAAGAGCGGGCGGGAAGAGCAGAATTTATCTTGAATCTTAAGCACCTCGCGAGCCATCTCCGGGGAGGATATGATCACAGACGGAATCGACCCGAGCCACACGTTCATGATCGGGCCGAACCTGTCCGCGAGCTTCGCGAGGCCGCGGTACGGCAGGAAGCCCAGGTCCGGGAGATTGCCTAGGATCGGCCATGGGGAAGGTCCGGGAGGTAAGGAGGAGCGACGGCGAAGGAAGGCGAGCCATGATGCCGAGATGTAAATAGCGACGGCTGCGATTATCGCCGAGAAAAGGGACGGCATTTGAAGATAATCAGAAAAAGCTACCGACGCGGCAACGGATTGATTGTCCATGTCGCCTACTGCTGGCTTTCCTCGCAGTCTGCCTCGACGCGCTTCAGTGGCCGACGAGCTCCCTACACGTATCGTCGCTTACAGGCTCTGCTGCTTTGCTTGGAGGATTGTTCTGTCAGCCATGGAATGACGGACCAGAGTGTTTGTCGTATCTGTGCAGGCGCGGACAGAGCAGGACCTTGAACGTGCAGAGAAGGAAGCATCTGGCTGGAGAGTGTGACACAGGTGAAATAGCACGTGCCCCACACACTCATCTGAATGCGGCTCAGTGATGTTCGATACGGTTCCCAGCGGTCAATCTGATGTTTACAAAGGTGTAGATGCAATTTCGAACTACTTCGATGGTCTGAGAAGGTTTCAACAGAATGCTTGGTGTTCCATATGATATTGAAGGAGGGTTTTGTTATTGTTCAGAAGCGAATCATTCTGTATCGGATTGGGAAGGGGCGTTATCCAGGTGGTGTTGCGTGGATAACGCGCGAATTTGAGTCAGGAATTTGGTGGCCCTCGTCGGCTCCGACCCCAGAGCTCTCCACGTTCCAGGGTGTGCGAATCACAATGACGTCACTTTGTTGAACCTGGCTTCGCAAATGGCCGGCGGTCTGCTTTGGTGGACATGAGAAGCTGTTCTGGCTTCAGGGAAACGACAGCTTGTCGATGTGGTTACAACCACTTTCGCGAGAATCGCATGTTGGATGAATGGACGGAAGGAAAGGGAACCACCTCGAATCCACCAACCGTCAACTCCCGATCGGAGGGCGGAGATTGACCCTCAAAAGGGGGTGCCTGCCTGCCTGACTGCCTGCTGACTGCCTATTGTCGCCCGGCCGATGTGTCGCCGCGTCAGTGCTCCCCCACCATATCCTGCTTGGCCACTCAACGAGGGTTTCGGTGGATAACCTTCTCCCAGCTGACGTGTTTTGCTCTTTCAGACAGACTCACACAATTCAGACCCTCGGCTTCAGGAAATCCTAGCAGAGACAAGAAGGGAGCAGCCCAAGAAAATGGCTTCCACCACGGTAGAGAACCTAAGTAACCAGGTTAGGACGGATGGACGGGAAGATAGGAGCACTTTGAGGAAATTGGAGTCAGCAAGTCAAGACACTGCTTGTTTGACGAATCGTTCCACTGATGACGCAGGGAATTGCACGCTTCGCATTGCGTCAATTGGAGATGGAGATAGTAAAGATTATGGTCAGCAAAAATCCGAGGGCACGGTTAGGTCTAGCGTAAATCAAACGCAGCAGTCGGAGAAACGGCAGCGTGAAGAGTCTTACGAGCGCCATGAAACAGACAATCAGGAACCAGGAGGCGGAGTTCACGATAATCATGGAACGGGGGTATCAAATCCGGCTTCTGATGAAGACCCTGGTGTTGTCGATGAGAAAAGGCAGAAGCGAATGTTAAGCAACCGTGAATCAGCGAGACGATCAAGGTTAAGAAAGCAACACCATCTTGACGAGATGAAGCAGCAGGTGGGTTCAGATGCGTCTTTCCTAACGTTCCTCCGCTTACTTAATTTTTCTATTCTGATAAATTGTTTCAATTTGATGCGGGGATGTTTGCAGGTTGCACAATTACGAGCGGAGAACACGGACATGGTGACAAAGTACAATTTGGCTTCACGACACTACGCTCAGATCACGGACGAGAATCGCGTCCTTAGATCGCACGCCATGGAACTCAGTCGTCGGTTGCAGCGACTACACCACGCGGCAACTGCTCAGGGTCACACCATGGGGCATGACTTTATGGGCATGACCCATATGGATCCATCGCTGCAGCTTGGTATGGGAGGCATACCTTCCGGCGGTGGCATGCCACATGGTCAACATCCTGCTATGACACACATGCCCCAGATGCAGCACCACGTGGCTGGAGCTCATCCTTCCGCCTTTCATTACCAGTTCCCAGGCTCCATGACACCCGAGCTAACCAGATGAAGGCAGATGAAGGCGCCTAAGAAGATTTTGTGTGTTGAGGTTCTCCATGTTAATACTAACACATTACGTGCGTTTGTTTGTTTGTTTGTTTGTTTGTTTTCCCAATTGTGCCAATTGTGTGTGTGTGTGGTTTAGCTCTCATTTGTGCTTTTGTTGTGTGCAAGGAAACGGTTGTATATTTTGTAGTGAGTGATGCTTCCTGCTAAGCTAACATACCGTAATGATTACATGCATTCTGCCAACGGTGCTCTGTGATGGCCTCATTTTTCAGTGTTGTGCTAGCATCTCGAAGCTTCAATGTTTTGCTTCTTGCGTACCGAAGCATGCTTTATGCATCCATTCCAAAGCACCACTCATGCTGATTTTATGACCTGGCACACCCACTAGCCAGGTTCAGCAAGCAGTCAATCACCAAATGCAAGGAGCAGCCAGTAGAATAACTTGCTGGTTGGTACGGTAGTTTAGCAATGGGGTGCACACTATGGCCTTAGCTTACAAACCAGTCCAGTGCGAGTAGAGACTGAAGGTACTGTGTCAGACCATGGTGTAAGCAGTTTGCCATATCCATCCACGCGCAACCCTTGTATGCAACTGGGCATGTACTACATGATTCACTTCAAAACACCAGCCATATAAGAGTACACTATACCAGACCATGAATCCGGTACACCCGGCACGCACCAATGCGAGCAGTCAGGGCGATTATTGCCTGTGAACTGGCCCAGATGGGCGTCTGGGCGGGCAAGGGAGGACCTTGCAATGTCCACTATCTTGAATTGAGGATAGGAGCTGAATGCCTGGATAGAGTAGCAACGAGGGAGGGTAGAGGAGGGTGAGTGGGTACATTCCTGACGCGCGTCACAAAGGCCTTGCGTCTCAAATGAAGAGATGCAGTGCGGTGGAAATGTTTGACACTTAGGTGTAATGCGGTGGAGACTGGTACAGCGGTTTTATGACGCGATTGGGACATTTGCGTCCAGAGCGGAATGTACCCTCAGGTGTAGGGGGGGAGGAAGAGATGGAGGTGTGTATGTGGCAAGCAGCAAACAGCAGCGAAGGGAGAGGAGTCGGGAGTCTGACAGGGATGAAAAGAAAGAGATTGTTCAGCACCTAGCCCACACGCACCATCACTTGAGCATCTCTTGCTTGCAATGTCTCTGTGTTCCTCTCTGCCCACAGCATCCTCGTCCTGTTCATCACCTCCCTCCTTCCTTTCATCAAAACCCCACGAGGCTGTTCAATGTACGCACCTTCACTTGAGCATCTCTTGCTTGCAATGTCTCTGTGTTCCTCTCCGCCCACATCATCCTCGTGGCGTTCATCACCTGCCCCCGCATGTCCATGCAGCTCTTGGCTGCATCCCCGCTAGAAAACGCATTGTTATAGTGATAAGCCGAGAAGGTCATCACCATGGCAAGCCCCGAGTACTGGCTATCAACTAGGAATTTTCGAACGGTTAAGTGAGCGTCATAGAGGGGAGCGTAGGGGCGTGGGAACGGGGGGAGCAGCTTGTTTTTGCGGTAGTACAGGCGGAGGTTTGAAGGTGCCTGGATGAGGGAGGGCAAAGTCAGGGGGTGTGGGATTGAACGGGAAGGTGGAATGTTCACCCAGCGACGGCGAACACTGAATCTTAATCCACCTTATGTAAACTACAGAGCCTAAAAATCATGTTAAAAAAGGAGATTTACAGTGCGGTTACACCCAATGACCGGCAGTGAAGATAACGAAATTAATATGCACAGACAGATATGTAGGTGTACAACAGATAGACAGTTCAGTCCGCATATTCGTAAACTAGTTGCCATTATTGAAGATAACGCCGTGGTTGAACCCCATACATACAGACATATTACCCCACTCACATTTATGAACCAGTGACCAGCGCTGAAGATAACGTAGTGGGTGTACCCCAGATTAACATACTCACTCACATTTATGAACCAGTGACCGGCACTGAAGATGACGTAGTGGGTGTGGGGCAGCAGCTTGAACCAGCTCAGATCAGGCCGGTCCAGATGCACCTTCCACGCGCCTGCACTGGAGGCTGCACCCTGGGGGAGAAGAGGTGAGACGAGAAGGAAGGGGAGAAGGGAACGCAATAAGGAGTCGGTTAAGGCGTGGGTGGTGTGCTGCACGAATCAGGCCAGTCCAGGTGCACCTTCCGCATGAGCTGAGACGATTTTTGAGGCGCCTCAAAAATCCGCATGAGCTGAGACGATTTTTGAGGCGCCTCAAAAATCCGCATGAGCTGAGACGATTTTTGAGGCGATTTAAAAATCGTCTCAGCTTTCGAGGCGCCTCAGGAGTCGGTTAAGGCGTGGGTGGTGTGCTGCTTGTGTCAGGCCGGTCCAGGTGCACCTTCCACGCACCTGCACTGGATGCCACGCCCTTAGGGAGGGGAGGTGTAGGGAGGGGAGGTGAAGAGAGGAGGGAGGACAACAAGGCAAGAGTACAAGGGGTGGTGGTTATGTTGCTCAGATCAGGCCTGTCCCGATGCACCCTCCACGCGCCGGCACTGGACGCAATGGCCTGGGCGAGGAGGGAGGGTAACAAGGCAAGGGCACAAGGCCTGGTGGTTATGCCACTCGGATCAAACCGGTCTAGATGCACCCTCCACGCGCCTGCACTGGATGCCACGCCCAGGCGGAGGGGAGGCGACAGAGAAGGGGGAAATGAGTTGGCTAAGAAGTGGGGAAGGAACGCAAGGCAGAAAGCATGCTGGAATTGCTGCAGTTTAAATCAGCTCAGATCAGGTCGTCCAGATGCACCATCCACGCCCCTGCACTGGACGCCACGCCCTGAGGGAGGGACAGGGGGGAGGGGGTGTGACAGAGAAAGGGAGAGGGACCGCAATAAGGCATGGGTGAAAGGCCTGATGGGTACATGCAGCTCGGATCAAGCCGGTCTAGGTGCACCCTCCATGCGCCTGCACTGGATGCCACGCCCTGATGGAGGGGAGGCGCAGAGAAGGGGAAAAGGGAGGTGACAGGGAAGGAGAGAGGGAACCTGACTGGGAAGAGGGTAGGGAACGCAAAGGCAGGGGAACATGGCCATGGTGGGTAGGCAGTGGGTAGGCGGTGGGTATGCTCTGGTCAGGCCTGCTCAAATGCACCCTCCACATGGCTGCCTGGGATAAAAGCGCGAGGCTAGGCACTAGAGTGTACTCGCTCACAGGTGAGAGTCCTAGCTTTAAGCAGTAAGAAGCACTCACCATGGGGCTGGAGCGGACTAGGAAGTTGGAGGGCGTGCAGGAGAAGGAGATGTTGAACTGCGGGATGATGAAGCTGCGGGTCAGAAGCACTAGGCTTAGCAATAAGGATGACCTTACCACAGTAGCGCTTGCTCAAACCATGAAAAAGCACCCACCACAGGGCTGGAGCGGACAAGGAAGTTGGAGGGCACGTGGAGGAAGGAGATGTTGTACTGGGGGATAATGAAGCCGCGGGTTCGGATCCCCGTGCGTCCAAATTTGCCCCAAAAGTTCTGAAGGGAGGCGGTGGTGATGGAAAGCAAAGAGGGGAATCACTGGGTGGATCAGGCCAGGGGGATGTGAGGGGGATGAGAAGCTCGGGTTCGAATCCTCGAGTGGGCAAACTCGCGTTTCCAAGTTGTGGTGTGGAGCAAGAAAGGATGCAAGAGCCTCCGAATATAATTCTATGAGGCTGACAGAGGATAAAACGTTGGCGTCTTGGGACACGAAAAAAAGCCGGAGTGTTCTCGCAGTGGAGAACAACAATTGGCTGTAGCCGGCTACGAAAGGAGGAAGAAGCGGATTCGGTTGTGTAGAGCGACAAACCAGAGGAGTAAGGAGAAGGTTGGAGGGCTTGGGCTGGGTGGAGTGACAAACCGGCGTAGTGGACGTGTTTCGAGCACTCTTAGAACGTACCTTGGTAACCGCTTTTGTCTCTAGCAGGCAGCGCATTGAGATTTCGAGATTGTTAACGAACGAGTCGCCGACAAACATGAAGACCTTATTGCGCATAATGGAGAGCATTCTAACTGGGTTGAATCTGAGAGAGACATTGGATGGGCGGAGGAAGAGGGGAAGCAGAGACAGAAGATTTGATGGTGGGATCGACGTAGCTTCAAAATGAAGTAAATAACCGGGAAATTCTCTTTCTCTTTGCGCTAGCAAGCTATTTAACCACTAGAGAGCCTTTGGCGACTCTATCACAGCCAGGGCTCCTCCACACGTACTTCAGGTACCCAGTGTCATTCCTCCCGTTGCGCTGGCAATTGTAATACGGTCGGATGCTCTAGCACGTGTACCCGTTTAAGAAACACAGTAGAGAACCCCTGGCGACTCTCACCTTCTTATATCGCAGCCAGGGCTCCTCCACACGTATTTCAGGTACCCAGTGTCCGTTCGTCCATTGTGCTGGCGGCTGTAATACGATCAGATGCTCTTGCACGTGTATCCGATATAAGCAACACACTGGAACTCTTGACGCCTCTTACCTTCTTATATCGCAGCCAGGGCTCCTCCACACGTATTTCAGGTACCCAGTGTCGTTCCTCCCGTTGCGCTGGCAGTTGTAATACGATCGGATACTCTTGCACGTGTACCCGTTATAAGCTGGCTCGTAGATCCTGTCGTACACCCAGCTGCGTAGGTTAGCAGAGGAGCGGGTAGGGAGGTGCGAATCTGACGGGTCAGGTGAACAGTCAGGTGAGTGTCAGGTAAAAACGAACTAGGAACACGAATGTAGAGAGGGGAGGCACGAGGGGAAGGGGTGGAGGGAGGGAAGAAGAGACGGAGAGAGGAGCGGTGTTTTTTTGTTTATTGAAGCGATTTCTCGTGATTTGTATTACGAAATGGTTTCCATGAGGGTGAGTGTGTAGTGAGGCTGACCTTCCTTGGTCGACTCTACATTGCTGACACGTGGCAGGAACGGATTGGTCGAGAAGGAGCACCAGTGACAGTGATAACGCTGAGAAGAGTGCGACCGGCAATCTCGGAACAGGCGAACGAAGCGGCCCCGTTTCGTGGCGCCTGTAATCTGGCCCCATGGCTTTTGATGACGTCCTCCGCAACGTCCTCCCCCTCCTCCTTCTGTTATTTAACTCTGCTCTGCTGAAGGCAACGTCCTCTGCTTCTCCTTCGGCGTAACCGGACTTATGGATTCTGAGGCGACAACCGCTTATGACTCCTTCAGACCGTTTTAGCTGGGTCGCGTAGCACGTCGTATCGGAAGCTACTTACATATGATTGCCTAGTTAGCAATCTAATGACTCTCCACTATCTTGGCGGTCTGATTCGACTCGAGAACTACCTATTGTATGTGCTGACGCTTCGGAGCGTTCCGGCGGTGCTGTCACTACGCCCCGCGCCTGTGCTGAGCACTTCCCGGTGCTATCGCTGGCTGTTATGTGGTGATATGTCGGTAAAGTTTCCTATAAGTGGAAAGAGTATCATTCCTGACAATCTGGCAAATAAATATTACTAGATTCGTTTGTCCATCGCCCTGGTTTACCCTCGTGCCGTCTAACGTGACCAAACGAACGACAGCATTCGTCGACTCTCCCTGGTGAACACGAAATTACGCATTCTGTTCTGGCCAGTTCTCTTGAAAGTATGAACAATGTCGGTGTCGGTGCTGGTGGGTTTGCTTGCATTTTCGTGACGAAGTGTGGCCCTGTTCGTTCGCGGGTATTTCAACGGTCAGTTTGGCGACGCGGGGCCACATTGGCCCTGCTCGACAGGCTAACACTCTGCAACAGGCGAGTGTTAGGCTAGTGTTAAGAGGAGGGCTCTGCGAAATTTCTCAGAGCTAATCGACCGGCCAACCCTACCGGAAGCTGCGCACCAAGAGATCGGAACGAGAGGAGCCCACAAGGCGAAGCTGTCCGCCCCCTTCGATCTGGGTCAACGCGGGCTTTGTAGAAAAATTTGGGCCGCTCGCCAAAGGGGTCTGGGTAACAACGCCGAAAAACAAAGGCATGGGTACTTGTGTTTGGGGTAGGGTTGAGGGGTAGCGAGACCTGGCCTCGATTAGTTTTTCAAATTGCAGATTTTTTCCAAGCGAACAGGTTCACTAGGTTTTTTTCAGGGTGCAAGAAGTGGGTATCCCTACCACTTCAAACACTTGCCGAGCCCTTTGCAAAACCCCACTTTTGGGGGGCGAGGGTCAGTCTAGGCGAGGGCTAGACCTTTGCCCGAGTGAGAAGGACGCCAGAACTTTCTGAGTGGGCTAACGCTTCTTGAGTGGGATGCGTTCGACAGGCAAACACTAACCCTTGGGGTTCCAGAGCGTTAAGGCCCTGTGACACCAAATTACGGGCTGACCGTAGAAAAAAAATCAGAAATCGAAACAGCCGCGAGGATTCCACGAGCGTTAGTGTTAGCCTATCGAGCAGGGCCTGTGACCCCTTTGGCGAGCGGCCCAAATTTTTCTACAAAGCCCGCGTTGACCCAGATCGAAGGGGGCGGACAGCTTCGCCTTGTGGGCTCCTCTCCTTCCGATCTCTTGGTGCGCAGCTTCCGGTAGGGGTGGGCGGTCGATTAGCTCAGAGGAATTTCGCAGAGCCCTCCTCTTAAAGCCAGGGTCTCAAGTACTACGAGTGTTTTGCAGTTGCTGTTGAAAGTTGGGCTGTGATTGGTTGGCGAGGTGAAAGGTTTGAAGTGGGGAGAAGCGAGGGGTGCGAAGCGAACGCAAATCGTTGGGTGTATCCGAACCTTCTAGGCTTGGAAACTTGGTTCGAAACCAAACCTAAAATGCCCCCAACTTATTGAAAGTCTCAAGTACCCAAAAGTGTTGTGCAATCGCTTCTGGGGCACTGACGGGGTGTGTCGCACGCTGATTTTCCAAACCAACCAGAAAGAACTTCGTCTGCAATAACTAGGTAACCTAGCTTCAACTGCAAAGCAGTTGACAGCTCCTTAGCTTACTTGAGACCCTGGCTTTAACATTAGCCTAACACTCGCCTGTTGCAAAGTGTTAGCCTGTCGAGTAGGGCTGCTGATTTCGAGGCGTCTCGGCGAAGATTGGCGCCGTAGCGAAACCTCCGAAGCTGTCTGTCGCTAGCGGCGAGTCTCGGAAACATTCTACTAAAGCACTCTATCCGCTTGAAAACGTTGGAAACTCTTTGTATCGCACTGAAACGAACTTACGCGCTAAAGGCGCGTGTCTTTTGGTGTAGAGGTTAAAAAATAAGGTCGACCTTTTGCTGGTCGCAAATTTCGTTAGGAGCTGTTGACGACGATCGTGTGTTTAAGCTCAAAGTTGAAAAAACCAGCAGGACACTGAACTTGGTCGACCTCACAATCGATTATCCCCAAGCACGTTTTTGCAGTCGTGTGTTCTTCTGCCCACGCACGAAGAAGCTGCGAGCCTCGCGACGGTAACGATCAACTTCGCGCCCGGCTACAAAATTTCTAATTGCTGACGAACTTCACTGTATAGTCCGGGTAACCTTACCAGTTGGGAACGACTCGGATTTAGGTGTACAAATTCGACCTTTGAAAGTCGAGCATTTCTTGTTCCATGTGCTCCACGTCAAAGGTGAACACGCGACTCGACAGTACAATATGGAGATGGTCGAGTACATGTCGACCAATGTTCATTGGCAAAAATTCGACCTTAAAACATGAACTTTGGCCTAAAATTCAAAAGACACGCGCCCTAAGCCCACGAGTTACCACTAGTCAGGTGCCCAGCCGACGATCTCGAAGGGAAACAGAAGGCTGAGGATGCGACTCGAACCTTGTAGCAGAGTTACAACGCGTATAGCCAGCTTAGAGCAAAACTAGTCAGCATTCACAAATCTGTACAAGAATGTACAACATCAGATGCCAAAGCCACAATCACAAAACAAAAGAGAGCTAGAAAATGAGATGTACAAGAAAATCAGCAACATTTCGTTCGCTTATTGTATGACGCCGTGCTACTCTTCTCTGAACTCCTCAGCGTCCCACTTTAAGTTCCAAGAAGCAGACTTCACCATCTGCTGCGTCCCTTCCATCTGCTTCAACTCTCGTCCACTCAGAACTGGCCCAACACCCACCGGCTCGTCCAACTTACCCATCTCACCCCGAATGTCCCGACTTCCAAGACTAGAACTCCTCCCCTTTAGAACCTTAGTTGCGTGTTGGATGCTCCCTTGAGTGTCCTTCATCTTCTCCCTCTCTGCAGCTGTAAGCACCCCCTCCACCTGCTCCTCCCTCTCAGTCTTCTCCCTCTGCTCCCCCCTGGCCTCAAACTGCGGCTGACGCCTTACCCCCATCCGCCGCGCCCGTTCCCGAAGCTTCTCAGCAGCTTCCGCAGCAGGGGATGAAGGAGCACCAGAAAGGTCAAGGCGAGGGGGGTACGGGCAGCAGAGGCAGAAGCACCACCACCGGCAGCAGCAGAGACAGCAGACGGGGCAGGAGGGGAGAAGAAAGGGAGTTTCAGCCTCGGCCTTGCAGGCTTTTTCTTCTCAGCAAAGCTCTCATGTCGGGGTGGTGAGCCGGAGGGCGGCGACACAAGGGAAGGCGAGACTGGGGCAGGTGAGACTGGGGACGGTGGAGGGCTATGTGGCAGCTCTCCCGCCTTTCCTCGGTCTCCACCTATCCTTCTGGGAGGCGATAAGAGAATTTCCGTCTCTTCCTCCACACTTCTTTCATGCTCCACGTCCCCTCCCCTCTCCCCCTCCCCCTCCCTCTCCACTCCCTCCTTCCCCTTCCCCTTCCCCTTCCCCGCCACAGGAGCTGGGCCCGAAACCAGAACCCCCTTTGCCTTGGCCTCGTGCTGCCTCTCCACCTCGGCCCAATCCGGTGCTATCATCTTCAGACCCTCCTTCCTCTTCTCCCTCCTCTGCCTGTGTTCCTCCCCCTCCTCCTCCCCCTCAAATTTCTCTTCTCCTGTCCCTCCTCCTCTCCTACCTCCTCCCCCTTCTCCACCCCCTCCTCCAGCCTTGGTAACAGGATCCAATGATCCAATCCCAAGGCGATGAAGCTCGTGCTCCACAGGGCCTTCTTCCCCCATGTGCTTGTATGGAAGGGGCACGTCCATGTGA